CCTTTTGAGTTGCCATACTGACATAAATGAACATTTGCACGATATTCTAATTTTTCGAGTTTCACCTGTATATACATTATATACATATATACACACATGCACTCTATTTTGTATATGCATTATCTATATTACAATATAGATAACATCTAATCATCATATATAATCTCACACACACACACAACAGATTTCTCAGCCAACTTAAATTGAATATATGTTTTTTAGAGCATGAATGGAGGATAAGTGGAAAATTCACAGAAAAAGAAATAGTGATTATGTAGAAATGGGGTTAGCTGGGAAGCTGAAACTTAGAATTTATAGGAAGGCTCTAGGTTGCCAAGCAGGAGGTAACAGTGTTCTAGGAGACTGATTTGTTGTCTCTAAGTTAATGAATTTAACTTGCTGAATTTGCTTAACACTACAAAACCCTTATGATAAAAGCAGCAGCTAGCTATCCTAGGGATAACTAAGCTGATCAACACCAAGAAAGTTGTCTGAGGCTGTGAATGCTCTGCCAAAATTCTAATGTCTGGAGAATTTTATCATACCACCAAGAAGGCCTCCTCCCAGAGTAAGAATTATTTGTATATCAATACAGAACAATGTAGAATAATAATCTCTTTAAGAGCACTGAGTTGCATCACATGTAGGTGCCAGAGTTGTTTAAATTCCTAATGATACTGCATTAGGACTCGTCTTTCTGGACTAATATAGGGGATAAGGTCAGTTAAACAGAATGTGCTTTAACACTGCACATAACAATTCTGTGCACGATATGGCTCTCACCAGGAGCTGGGGAAACCAACTAAAGAATAGCACCTAATGAAGTAGAGCAATATGCATATTGCCTGCAGTTCAAAAAAACAAGCCACAAGATCCAAGGTAAAGAGACTCAGTTCCAAACAATCATGTTCAAAGCAGATGCATTACCAAAGTGTTAAATGGCATTACATTTGAAAGAAACACTCAACTGACCTCTCTTTTTAAAATACAGAAATGATCATGCTGCTACTAATCAAAGAGACGGCACTATTATACTGCTTCCACTGATAAAGAAGCTCCACAACCTGCTGAATTGTAAAAACAAAACACTCATATACACACTGGAATCTTTCCGAAACACAATCCTGTTGATTATTTTAAAATTAAACATGCTGACAATGATTAATTCATTAGCTGGGAATAAATAAAGGCAGTTCAGAGACCCAGCACTTCAGCCTCAGGCTTTTGTGTTCTTCCTACTTCCCCCTTTTTTTATTCTGTGCATGAGGAGAGCAAGATCTTCCTCTTTTAGTTAGGACTAAAGTATTACATTATGTACTAATTTTGTTCAAAGGAAGTGAAATTAGTTCTGATCATAGAAAATAAACCAGTATAAAACAATGGTTTCATATTCTGCTTTGTTAACCAACCCTAGCTAGAACAAGCCAGTTACTCAAATTTGAATTCAGCCCTCACCATTTTTGCAATGGGATAAGCTTACCTTTCATAGTAGTTACAATTTATTTGTTGGATATATATTCATTATATTTTTTAAACTGCAATCTTTCTCCCATTTTCCTTCCCAAACAGTCCTGCTTAGATAGTTTAACCTGAGAAATAGTGATTGACCCAAAGCATTGAAAGATTTTTTTCTGTACAGATAGTCCTTGTTTAACGACCACAATTAGGATAGGCAACACAGTCGTTAAGCAAAGCAGTTGCTAAGCAAAACTGCAACTGGGCTTATGATCTTACTTCAGCTTTCCTTTGCTTTACAGACCTTTGAGGGTTGTAAATGCGAGGGCTAGTCGCAACGTTACTTTTTCATCACCTTCATAACTGTGATCGGTTGCTAAATGAGGACTACCTGTAGTAAAGTATAAACTTGAAATTTCATGTCCCCAGTCGTCACCCAACACCCTAACACATACACACAAAGCACTACAACTTTTATACAAGAGGTCAGTAACCTGGACAACAATGTCCAAATTTCCTGGCTTTAACTACGCTGTGATTTATGGCCACCGCAATCCAAAACATCTGAAAAGCACTACGTTGTCTATCACTGTATTCAGTATTACTACTACCAGAAAACTACAATGTTGATTTATAGCTATAAATATTTAGGAAAATGGCTTGCATCACAATATGATCAATTCATCTTAAGTACCCTAATATGTGCATCTTTTCCAAGGGCACAGCTGCTTTCAGGAGTTGCAGCTCAATGCTACACATATAAACCTACAGGTTCCTTCTGCCTTCAAATCCAAAGGCATAGTCCTAACGTATGATAATATGCTCCCAAAACGACTGTTGAGTCATGTTTTTCAGAAAATGACTTGTACGCTGTTCATAAGGACGTGAAGATATTGGATAAAAGACATCTACTCAGAAATTTATAACTGCTTATAGTGCTGTATCAGCTAGGAAGGGAAAAAAGTTGGCAAGACAGAAAAAAATGCCAGAGATGAAATGACAGCATGAAAAACTGCTATTGATTCACTCAACTAAAACAGCTGCTGATCCATGTAGAGAGGCCAGATCAGTGTAGTTAAAAGATAACAACTGAACCTGCTCCTTAATTATAGCCACACATTCTTCATTTCTCCTAACATTTATATAAATTTATACCACCATCTGCTGGACAGAATTTTAGAACAGTCAAATGTAATTGAAGTACTCCTACTACAAATAAAGTAGAATTTGTAGCATTTACCTGAGGTAGAGGCAAAGCAGCCAGGGACATGTGGAGACCATATGGTGCTATAAATGACACCTTCATGACCTCTGAATGTACACAATGGCTGTCCCACTTCAGGATCCCACTAGATAAAATGTAAACAAATAAAGGGTAGTTGATACACTTTAATATGTGAAGGCAATAAACTGACTTCTATTCTCTAACATTAAAAATATGCTTGTTCTGAGATATACTGGATATGTACTTGAAAAACACTTTTAATTATTGTTGTAATAACACTTGTTTTCTATGCAGCCTTGTCAATCAAGGCTATTTTTAAAACTTAGGCTGCATACTGAGGTACATGTACTCAGGAATAACTCCCACTGGAATAATTCAGACCTAATTTCAAGTAAGCATGCATAGGATGTTAACTCTTATTTTGAAGATCTTCAAACCGGCTTTATTTTTTTAAAACAAGCAATTATTGTCATGAAACAAATATATTGCTTTCCCACAGAATTACTTCCCAGTATAGAAATGTGCATCTTAATTTTGCCAAAATGTGCACCTATAAAACAACTTTAACTTATACATCTCTGAAAACTAGCTGCTTCTCCTGCTGGATTTATGTGCTTGCATGTTCCTATATCATCATATATGAGACTATCACTTTACCCAGATTGAGTTGCAAAAACTATATATTTTCAACACTTTTTATAGAAGATTTTAAAGTTCTGGTTTGATTGTTCTTTTCTTTTTTAAAATTGGGATGCAGTTCTCTCTCTCTCTCTCTCTGAAAGAAACAGAAAGTAATAAACAGACCAGAGACAGGTAACTTGGCAAGTTGCTTCATTTCTGGTGACTCCTCAATGCAGCTTTCTAATCAGTTACTGAACTGATTTTCTATTGCCTTCTTCCTTGTTTTTTTTTTACTTCCCAGTCTAGCCAATAGCCCTGGAAGTCCCAGATAGTTCCCATATAAGTACCAATCAACAGTGACCCTCTTTAGTTTCAGATCAGCTAGATCATCTATTGAATCATGCTACTCAGAAACACATTTAGAAAGCTTGTGCTTAGTTTAGGCACCAAGAGCCCAGGAAGTAACAACTCCTACCTCATTCCCAATTTCTAGGGAACACTGGGTATAAGGAGATATGGACCAGTAACTGAGTAATGCTCCTTTCCTTTGGATTGGACTGCAATTCCTTTCAGTATTTTCTCCTTGTTCACTTGAAATACATTGCAAGGACACTGCTGACAGATCTCCTGAATTCTATCCTATTGTTCGTTTGTTTTTTTTGGCAAAAGCATTTAACCATTAAGAATTCTTTATTAATGAAGCTGTAGTGCCTGATTCTTTCATACAGGTAGTCCTCGCTTAACAACCATTCATTTGATGGTCCAGAGTTACAATGGCCTTGGGAAAAGTGCTTTACGACTCCTGTAGTCACATGACTGTGATTTGCAACTTTTTTTTTACAATGGCCCTTAAGTGAATCACTATGGCCATTAAGCAAATCACATGGTCGTTAAGCAAATTGTGTGGTTGTTAAACAGACAAAAACATCCATTGGGGAAGCTGGATTTGCTTAATGACCATTGTAAAAAAGGTTGTAAAATCAGCTCCTATTCGCTTAACAACCAAATTGCTTAGTGTCCTAAATTCTGGTCCCTATTGTGGTTGGATAGCGAGGACTACCTTTAATGAACACTATAGAAATAGCCAGCTTGTTACACTTTAACATGATTTACAATGTGACGGGAATGGGATAAAGAAAATGAAACACATTTTCAATTGCAGTGGAGAGTTATTTTCTGAATGCAGAAATGACTTGCTTTTTCCAAGCATAAAACTAGTACAAGGAACAAGATGTACTATAAATCCCCTCCTCAATGTGCTTAGTTTTGTTTGGAAACCATAGAGAACCATAGTTAATAGGGAACTATTAACTATGGCTTCTCCAACAATTGGTGAAGGAGAACCATCTCCCATGTTATCTCAGGATTCAACTACCTCCTGAAGTTGCTTTGTCATATGGGGCATCTCATGCCTTGCTTCATTCAATATCATATTTACTTTCAACTATCAACCACCCTGGATTAATAATTTAAACAACCACATATGCAAGCCTTGATCAATTTGCAGTTTTATTATGTAAAGAAATACATTCCATGACTTCCCACTTGATAAATTAATTTCATTAAGTACTGTAGTTACAGAAACAACTAGATTCCTCACTTTAATTGTCCCATTTTTTGACCAATATTAATTTAAACAAAAGAAAGCAAGGCATCATCAGTCAAAGTAAAGAACAAACAGAAAAACAAACATGTTGAAAAATATTCTGTTAGAATGTTAAACCAATATGCAATTTAAATAACCTGAAGTACACACATACCAACTTTGCTGTTCGATCCCATGATCCAGATATTATTAGCTGTTCTCCTCTGGTCTGACTCCAGTCAACACTATAGACCTGTAAATAGTGGATACACTTTAGTTTGCTAGCACACATTGGATAAGCCGTAATTAGAGGATTTTTCCGTCCTGCCACTAAAAGAATATACTGAATATACTGTATACTGTACAGAGAAATATAAACAATTTATATATCAAGGTTCAAGACTAAAAAATGTAAAACAATAATCCAAAATAAAACTTTTCTCTTTTAATACACATGGACATCAATAATCAACAATTTATAAGGATACACAATACAAATAATTTGTTAGCTACATGGTAATGACACATAAAAATGTGTATGTAGGTATGTGTGTTTATTCAAAAATATATTTGTATATACATACATAGATGTGTGTGTGTATACAAATGTGTGGGGGGGGGTTGGGGCATGCTTTTATTTATTGCAATATAATAACTGTAGTCTTTACCTTTACTTTTTCTTCCTAGGATAGAAAATTAAGACCCACTCTTAACTGTGGTTTTCGAGAATATTTATTTCAAGAATTCTTCTTTTTGCTCAGATGAATGGAACCATTTTATTGCTTGCTACTTCCTGAACTATATTTTTAAAAGCACCGATCCAAACGCTGCTCACTGCTATTTTCTGCCCAGCTATTCTTGGACTCACACATTTCATTTCTATTTTTCTAATACTCTCTTCACTGTGCAAAGAAGACAATCTCCAGTTCAGGAGACAACCACAGTCCCTGTTACAAAAACTGGGTTACCACTGCAAATATCCCAGTTCAGATATTCATCTATTATTAGTGTTGTATGGAAAAATTACACAAGCCCAAGGACTATTTCTGACTTCACTAAATGATAAATGTAGCTTCATGACAGGATCCAATTAGTTCTAATGTGGCATGTCAGAATTAACAGCTTTTTTTAATGCATTGTTCAAAGATTGATACTGAAACACCACAATATGTGCTGGACTACTGTCAAAGGATGGTCAGACTAATTTCTGTCCATTTTATCAATTAACTAGGTTTCCCAAAACAAAACTTCAAATATTGCAGGAGAAGAGTCAGAATATTCAAATTTCAGCAACTGAACATATTTCTCAAAAGACTAATATAGCAAGATATTGATGGCAAGCACTCACTGCTTGTGAACCATCACTCCTCTTGCCAAGAGCTGATCCTGATGGGTTGCACTGAAATACTCCTGCAGAATATATGACTCCTGTTTAACATGCTCATTGTAGGCCAGGAACCACCCAAAATAACAATTTAACAGTAATGCTTAAAATATGTGACTCATTTTAAATTCATCTGCATCAATTGACTGCTGCTTTGATCAGGTGAGCCAAAATGCCCAGAGAAATTGCTTCCCTGCTTTTTTCCCTGCAAAGCAAAGTGTTTTGCCCATGCACAGGCATGCCATGACAACAGGAAGCAGCTTATGAACCAGCCACTCATGTTTGAAAAAATATATCAATTATTCAAATAATTTCTTTTGCAACCATACTCGTGAAGCAACACTTTGAAAGGATTTGTACAACCTTAGTCTAGAAACCAGGAAACTGTGAGTTCAAGTCCCCTGTTAGACACTGAAGCCAGGTGAATGACTTTGGGCCAGTCACTCTCTGTCAGCCCTAGGAAAGAGGCAATGGCAAACCACTTCCAAAAAACTTTGCCAAGAAAACTGCAGGGACTAGTCCAGGAGGCAACACTGACTCAAAGGCGCGTGCTTGCACACACACACACACACAATCTTTAGCACTAGAATGGGGAACGTCCAGCTTTGGCAAATACCAACCCTTCACTCAAAAACCCATCACCCTGCCCAAAAGCCTCTTCTCCCAATCACTGCTACCTTCCTTACCCTTTTAGGCTGATTTTCTTCAACATATATTTTCTCCTAAAGAAGAATGTACATGCCAGAAGAGCTTGAGTAAGTGCACTGCACTTAGCTCACGCTTGTTCATTCATTGCACACCTTCCCACTACTCTGCACTTTCCCTGATGAAGTAGGGCACTATGGCCTCATTTGATAATCTCCTCAGAGGAAGAAGGTGAGGAGGCTACCTTGAACAGCCCTCTGAATCAGTTGAGCCAAGCTACACCATATTCACAATTATTAGGCAATTATTTTGACCATATCATCATTTTTATGCATATTTTCCACCTCCAAGCTGTATAAACCTGAATCCTTATTGGATATAAGCATATCAGGTGA